GGTTCTTAATAAAAATTTGTAATATTTTAAGCAATTCTACATTTTACATCAGTTAATTAAATTATGAAGTACCTAAATATAATTGAGTACCAGTAAACAATATGGAACCATAATATAGATATATGTATTCTACAGGATTAGATTCACTTTTTTTAAAAAAATAAAGAGAAAATTCAAATAAAAATCTTTGCTCATATTCATGATTGAATAATAAATACTGAAACTCGCAATAAAATATTGATGGTTTTCAATTTTACTTGTTTATTACGATCGTGATTGAAAATAATAAAACTAATAAATTCTGATTAAGGCGATTAAAAGTCAGACTATCATCAAATGTTGACTAGAGTAATAGTTATATCTATTTTATCATTCAAATCGACAATCCAGTGTCCATTTCCAAAGAGGACATAAAACGTAACTATTGGAGTGTGAACGTGATATAGGTGATAAACAATATTATGATACTCTTCCTGAACTATTATATTAGTAAAGGCTACTCAAGTGAAAATATGACACTCTGAATACAATGCTATCAAACCAAATAATTTAAATAGAATTCATTTGGGCTACTCCTTTGATCAGTGGTAAAAGATCCGGTCTTTCAACTTGAGGTTGGTATCACTTTAGACAGCCTGATATGAAGCAGTAATGATATTGGTTTAAACTTGACAATATTATAGTAAAATATATATTTTGTGAAAGAGCCCTTTGTAGCATTGCAACAATTGTCTATTGACAATTTTGAAAAAAAAACGCATGATTGCCTCCTATTAGACTTCAGATAATAATAAAACTAAGTTATAGTTACTTAGAAATAAGAATCGATCAAAACGGCTTATAAAACACCTCAAATTCTAAGTACTGTTGGAAAATGTGAATTATTTCACCGGATCATTTAAGTTAAATTGGATGATACGTCAACAGTAATATTATGTATTGAATATGTCATTAGTGACAAAATATAACAAATAAAGATGTATAATTTAAATAAAATTACAAATGTTACAATGTAGTATATAGTGTATTAAAAATTCTACCCAAATATATTAAAATAGTACATTTTTTTTAAACAAAAATTTTAGCGAGCCAATAGTGGCAATAATAAATGTGATAATTTGGTAAACTAATTTTTTAGTAATTCCGGTGGAGACGCCGCGTACTTTAGGACTTGTAAAGGATAAAATAGAGTTCAGATTGAGTACAATTTGTTTATGTATTTTATGAACAATAATTTGTAACAGTGAACGAAATCGCTTACTGATTTATCTATCAGTTCACCAAGATATATTTCACAATCATTATACAAACAAATTTTTTAACTTAGCTGGGTTGGCCGTAGCAAAAAGGAAGAATTATTTCTCATATTGCTTGAATAAAAAAAAGGAAATATACTTTACATTAAAATGTAGATTAGAGTAGATTTTTACGTGAATTTATATTAACTCAATTTTAAAAATAATGAACGATCATCTTTAAAATTGACCACGAGCAATTTTAGGGACTGAACGATATGTGGCCCAGATAAAATCAATGACCTACTTATGCAATTTATTATACTATCATAATTTTATGAAGGTGACATCGTAGCGAGAAAACCATTTCCGATTCATTGGTCTCAAAATTAATAACGCAATAAAAGTAATTAACTACTAAAAGTTGCAACTTATTAGGAGAGTTCGTACATTGAGTAAATGTTCATTTTGGAAGATAAAATATGATCACTATAATAAATTTTTACATCGCATTATCACTATGGAAATATATGTAGGCTACGAGAAAGATTTCTTACAGAATTACATTACAGCCACAGATGTGCCAGATATTCGATTCATTATTGAACATGATAGTATTAGATTCAATTAGGTACGACTACAAACCATAAAAAATAATCTAGTAAATTCCACTGAGACAACTTTATACTAACCCATATTCTAAATTGTGCTTGATATGCGTTTATGCAAATAATCCGTCGCATTATGTATATTTAAAGCTACGTGTGCTTTACTAACACAATATAGGGTCCAATTGCAGAGTCGAGTATTATGCTAATTTAGCGAAATATGGACCAAACCGTATAGTCAATGGCAAAACGATAACTATTAAAATAGACGATATATAAATTGGTTATTATATTGCTAATCATGTAGAAAATAGGATAATTTTATTATTATTTTACGAGAGAGCAAATAGTTTGGTTAGGTAATTATATGCATACATCAGGCTTGTTGCTGCGTGATTAAACTTTTGATTTGCTGATCATGACTAAATTTGTTTAATTTGTACTAAAACAGAACTGTTATTGGACAAAATTGAATTGTATAGCAAATATGCTTAATTAATAATTAGCTGTATAATAGTCTGGATGTAGTGGTCAGTCCGGACACTGATTATTACGACCAATAAAACTCGTCATCTTTCCTGGATAGTTAAAAAAATTCCGTTAGGCTCCTGGGTTATTGCCATTATTATATTGTGTTTTACTATTTATAATTTTTTGTTTTAACATTTTTCTATACATTACAACACAATTTCCATACATTATTCTAAAAAGAACTGTAAAAACAATTCAAACGCTTCAACATGATTGCATATTAGTTGAAAAATGCTTGCCAATGCTCAATTATATAAATAAAAAGTTAATTTCAAAATAACATTTTGTTAATTCATTCAAAACTTCGCTAGAGTTAATTCTCACCCGAAAAATATTAACAATAATGAACACTATCTCTGAAATATACTAATTTTATTATTATCATCACACTATTAGTTTCCAAAATTTATAATCCTGTAATTTGCTATTGACAAAAAATTTTATGGGTCAGTTATTCGATAAAATAGACAGTAAAAGAGCCTTGTTTTAGCAACGCTATATTACAATTCCTTTCTTAAATAATTTGCTGTGCGATCAGGTGTTTTACACATTAAACCTAACTTCACATATTTGTTATAAATGCACAACAGAAAGATGCAGTTAAATTAGCACTACTTTTTGTCATTTGTAGGTTTGTAGGTTAGTTTTTATATCTAAACCTCCTGATTGCACAGCAAATACGTTGCATTTTGATAGTTTTTACTACCAATTTTTATGAAGATAGAACCTGTACATAGCCTTGCCATAACAACGCTCTGTTACGGTCTATTTCATATGAGATTTGGTCCCTAAGTCTCACTAGAAGAACATTATTTTCATCAAAATATGCCAAATATTTAGTATAATAACTATTATTAAAAATTTGATTTCAATAGTTTTGAAATGGTTTCATATAGATGTATCATCAGAAATTTTATTCAAATATTATTCAATTTAAAAAAGAATTTCGAATAAATACATTTTAATACAAAAGTATTTAGTATATAAGTATTTAGTAATTATATTATCTTAATAGTGGTTTCATGAATTGAAAACTAAATGAAGTGAATGTAAAGAACTAATCAAAAATTATTATTTGACTAATCAAAATGGGTGTAAATACATGAAACAAACGCTTTTGATTTTTTTTAAATCGGTTCAGCCATTTTTGAAAAAACGTTGATAAAAGATCAAGAAAAAAACATTCTTCAACTAGTACTCGAATGATTCAGTATGACTGAAAACATTGAGAAGACAAAAGTAGTAAGTCGAAATTTCTGGCAAAAACAAACTCTTTTGGGAAATAAATTAATCACCTAGTTGTTGACCCTAAAGATGAAACAATAATTTATATTAAACGGAATTACGCATGTAAAGTCAAAGATTTGGGAGCAATAAATAATAATTTTAACGACACTGGAGAGATATATAGAAGACTTATACTTTGAGAAATTATTATAGAACTTTGTTTGTAATGAGTACTATTTTAATAGTAAGTTACTACACCCACTAGATTTTGACTTCGCATTTGAACTTTTGCTTTGCAGTTGCATAAATATCACTATGAATAAATTAATAGGTGGCACTTGCATATATTTCTTGGTAAAGTTTTAGCTGATAATACCAGCTCAGATATATTATAATTCCACAGATAATTTGAATTATTAATACCCAATGATCTGTGCTCGAATAATTTACTTTTTTAAAATCGATATCCTATCGTGAGATCTTTCTTATCTTTGGTTTCTATACAAAGCTCATATAAAAATGCAACTTTGGTGCATTTAGAGTTTCAGAATCAAAAATATTATAAAAATAAACCTTAGTAATTTTTAAAAGTGCCATTTTTTCTAAAACATTGAAAAATATCTTATTTACAACAGATTATGTATCATTCCAATTTATTTTACATGACAATTTGAAAGCTCTATACATTTTTCATAGAGACAAACTATGGTTCAAAATCAAGATAAATTACTTACAGCGCAAACGTATAAACCATATTCAATACCGTTATGACTTAGAAGTGTAAGTTGTATAAATAGACATAAATAAGTAAGTTTATAAAAATAATAATGATGTTATAATATTATATTAATGGTTTAGAATCGTTATCTCATTTATGAGCTAATTTTCGTATAATATCCTATGGTATCTTAACAGATCACGAATAAGTGCATGTTGAATATTAGATATCTCGAAGCCCATATTTATTTGCTATATTATGTTCCACTTGATGTTGGTTTTCAATGTTTGTGTCTTCTCGATACAACTATATCTGTTGTATTCAATCAAGCCTATACTTTCGAATAAAAAATAAATAATAAAACCTAAGCTTCAAATAGCACGTTAAAAACCAAGATTAGATTACTCTACTTAACGAATGTATCAAGACAAGTCCAACGCAAATGTACCAATTTTTTTTCAGGGGTTATATCTTATATATTTTTTTCTATATAAGATGAACAAGTTATTGTAAATTATTACTACACTTTTCGTAATATTTTGAACGATAGATGTGTCACCCTGAGCTTAAGAAAATGTATCCAAAAATATACTCATTAAGTAAATCAATATTGTAAATCAACACTTTGGATACTACGTAGTTCAATATTATAATGTCTAATAACAAATGATAGGTACTCACGTGAAGAGCTCCCCGATGACGACGAAGGATTGGAGGCGTGCGATGGCGTGGGTGCGAAACCGCGGTGTCGCCACGGCGTGTCAGTCTTGATGGCCAAAGGAATTCCGGGGGCACGGTGCGCTCGCGTTATGTCTGGCACGCCGCTGAAACACACTCCGTCCTCCTGAAAATTCATATGGGACATTAGTCTTGGTGTTAACATACTAATTTATTATTAGAAACCAAATATTTGAAAACTATCGTCAAATTATTTTACAGACATATTTAAAACTGGGCTTAGGGACTGATTCTGCTACGTAACAGACACACGCTCCGATTTCCATACATTATGCCATTGAATCATACTGAATACTGTCAAAATATCGTGTATTTGCTGTGCATTCAGAGTTTTATACATAAACTGCAACGTCACTCGTATGTTATGAACCTGAGTCAGAAAGACTCTGTTATATAGCATCGTTTTGTTTGACATTTGTGCGGTTTCTACGTAATGTTTTCTATGTGACAACGAACTTGTATGGAAAGTTATACATATCATAGCTTTGCCATAAGCTTGGTCTGTTATACGGCAGAATCAGTCTCTAAATTATTTGTAATAGGGTTGCATAACTCATCATCAGAATAATTTAATTATCTCTTTCAGACTTATAATTATTTATTACATAAATTTAAATTTGATTCAAAATGAAAAAATCTTATCAACCCATTGCTACGACGAATTAAAAATTAATTTAAATTTAAAAACAAATTCATCAAAATTGAAATAAAAAACTATAGGTTTGTCTCCTGTAGTTTCTTTTATAAAATCTAACAACAGCTTATAGAACCTAGTTAGTTCTATTCAGAAATTACCATTAAAAACTATGAATTTGGAAATGAGTTTTAAAAATTAATTAACAACATTTTAAAGAACTAATTTTTACACTATTAAGGAATATAGAAGTTGAGACTTCTCTCAATCAGATACCGACATACCAAAAATTAGTGTATAATTATTTATTAATAGAATTATGTATTAATAATATTAGTTGTTATATTAAATAACTATTTGTTGTTTCAATTATATAAATATTAAATTATAATTTACATACATATATACAAAATCAGACTTGCTAGTTTTTATTTTGACGTTCCAAATCATTTTCAATTCTTTGAGACCAAATTTGGAAAAAAATTGCGTGTGTGTATGTAAAATAGGATAAAGCGACTTCGCAAATTTAAAAGCCATTTGATATGAGGAATAGGGTTTGTCAGTTTTAAATGTATAATTTTTCGTCCGCATTTTAGTCAAAAATACTGAATCAAATTCAAAACTTTGAATTTCAAAAATTTAAAAGCTATTCAGAAGGTATCATTTGGGAATCGTCCTGGTAAGTTGAAGAAGAGTGGTCGCGTAGTTTTCCGGACAATGATTTTTTTTAGATTTCAATCAAACTTTGTATTGCGATAAGTTTCAGATTTTAATAAACACACTAAATTATTACAGTGCCTATGACAAGTGATATATTATTAAAATTAATAAATGTTCGGTGGATTAATCGGCCACGCTATTTGATAATGCATTATCATGTTTAGGCATGTTTTTCCAATAGTGTAATATTTAATTTAATTTATTTTCCGTAATCTAACATATTGCATTCTCACATTATAATATTCAACAACAACTCTCTATATTTAAATCACCCATAAATTAATATATTAAATTCTTGTTGATTAAATCGATAATTTACCCATATCGGAAATTTTATGCAACTTGCATCAAGAAAAAATTTCACTTTCATCTATTTTTATATTAAAAAACAGGTAAAAAGTAATTATCCCTAGTACATGTGATTCTCAAAAGAAAAGTTAAATACAAATGTATATAGATATATGCTGAATCGTAAAGTAAATAAATTAAATAAAAAGTTTTATAGTTTATATATTAACATCTGATGCAATTCTGTAGTAACATTGAATTAAGTTTTATTTGAGTTCTAAAAAGTTGATCTTTTAATATGTATGTGCAACTCTATTTCATTAAATCACTATTTTCTTATCTGCGACAGACAAGCAAACGTTCCTCTAAAAAGTGACTTTATATTTGTTTACGGTTCAAGAACTTATCCTATACAATTCTATTCAATAATTTGTTTTCATTTTATAGCCATTCTATACGCTATCCTTGATTGAAAGTAATGAAAGAAAAACGTGCTCTATAGAAATTCGTTTGCTGAAAGAGGGATTAAGTCGTAATATATTTTAAATCCTATATTCAAGGACTTTTTACTCAGGCTCAGTTGATAATTTGCATATATGTCGATGAATAGATTACAGGGCTCAAAGATTTAATAAAATAATAGTTGAAAAATGAAATCATACGTAATATAATGTAAAAAAGACTAAAAAAAATTATAAATTTTACATGTTATCTAGTTCATTTATTAATTGAATATAATTCAATGTTTGCTATCAACTGTTGTAATTATATAAATTAAGAGCTTTGATGCTCCAAAAATATCACCAAAAAATGCTTAAAATTTCGTAAAATTATTCATAATTATACTCTTAGATCTATTTACAATGCTCTCCTTTAAATTCGTGATTAGAGATATGGCCTTTCAATCATAAGTTACATGTTTGACACCCGCCTCAAACAGCCTGATGTCTAGCAGAAGTCATAAATTTTTTTTTAAATAGATTTTTAAAATATAAATAGCAATATGTTCTAAATATTTAAAAATAGCTTTTCGAAGTATTGGTGGACAACTCTTATCAGTATTTAAAATAATACAGGAATTGCCATCTATAAAAGAGGTAATAAAAAATGAAAGAGAAAAGAATTCACCATAATAGCTCATAGGGTTCATTAACGCTATATGGACCTTCGTAGCCTCCAAGTTAAATTTCCAATTTTCTTATATTTAACCTAATAATTATGGCTTTTTCGTAAGATGGCGGGTAAAACTGAATTTTAAATTTTTTCAATGCAAACAATATCAAAATTTATAACTTTCGCAAGGCTTTTCAACATAAAATAACAACGCTATATGGACCTTCGTAGCCTCCAAGTTAAATTTTCAATTTTTTTATACTTAACCTTTTTAAAAATTTTAAATTTTTTCAATGCAAACAATATCAAAATTTATAGCTTTCGCAAGGCCTTTCAACATAAAATAACAATACACAAAAGTGGAAACTTTATGAGCCACAGTGACTTGAGGGTCATAATTCATTAATACCAAAAAATAGTATAATTTTTTGAAATAAAACATTTTTAGGCGCAACTAGGAAGTAAAGCTGTACAAATGCAACAGAAATAGCGTTGTATGCGTACCGGCATCAACGTTGTATGCGTAAGGATACAAGGAGGAAATTGGAATGTCATTAGTTTTGAGGTTACATTGTAGTACAAATCTTGATTTAATAAAAAAAGCCTGAATCTGAAGAATATTTTACACTGTCCTACGCAAATAATTATAATAAAAATAATGAAACAAATGAAACATTTGTGCCGTGTAGAAAACGTAAGTTTATTGAAATAATTTCCATATATTATTCGTAGTTACTGTAAATCTTTGAAGTTATTCAGAAGGAAAATATTTTTATAGGCAAGACAGAAAAAATGAGATTGTATCGTCAGCAAAAAATAAAAAAAAAATACAAGTCAATGAATGTATGTTAATTTTATTACATGAAGTTCTTCAAACACAATTACATTATGAGTGAAATTGCGAAAACAATATTTCTTTAGGCGTTGTTTAACATAATCCACCCTGTGAACGAATATTATAGAATTTATTAATCAGCAATTACTTCATTTCTCTTATGAAGGTTTAAGTACTAAATGCTAATAACAATGACAAACCAATCATGTCATATTTGAAGTAGGCACGACTTTAATTACATTTTTGTTTTCATATATTATAAATATTTTTAATGCTATTATGAATATATAATTTATAATTTATTTTTATATAAATATGCATAATGGTTGAAATTAATAAATGTGTGCAACATGAGTGTAACAATATTACTAATAAACATTATTTAGAATTGTTTTATGATGTATTCATTTTTACCTTAAATGCCATCTCGCACAACAGCAAAAAAGTTTTACTTCAATCGCGTGTGAACCTTACGCGCACTCTTTTTCTGTTTGTTTTTCATTTGCATTTATATGATTATAAATACTGATATTTTGTTGCACTAATTTTTTGGATGTGAAACAAACATTTGGCTCATGGGGAATTAAGTTCTGGTTTCTTCGTATAGATATATAAAAAATATAAATGTACTAGCATCATAACTTCAACATTTAGTAATAATTAAAATATGTGCATATTTAATGAAGATATGCTAAACATAGATGAACAACAAAAGTAACATTTCTTGAAATAATTTTCCATTCTGTCATTATACTACCTATAACCCATCGGCTCCGAAGTACAATAGCACGCACTTCGAAAAGGGCACATCACTCTCCGAGCTGAATGTCTAAACATAAAATCCGAAATGCCGCTCACGCAACCACTAAGGAAGCAAGGCAACTTAATGGTCTGCAGGTATATTGAAAAAATTAAATCCTTCGATCTTTGCTCCGAGAGAGATTACGGGCGCTAAGAACCGATACCAAAAGGGGCTTATGCAAATTTAATGGACGTTCGGGTTACCTAAAACGGACGCCGATCGACGGTCTGTGACCGGGCTCATTCCGCGGCATCGCGCCGAATTTCTTGCATGCAAACCCATCCATCCGATACACTTGAATGCCTACGGATCGCGCGATCAAAACAGATCGTGATCCGATAATGCAAGAAGCCCTGTTTTCTGTTTAAAAATGAATGGACCGAAGCGATTTCGCAGTTAACGTCGGCAGGAATTGGGTTCGAGTTTTTATTGGAACAAGAGGCTTATATTGTTTTCAGGTTCGCAAGTATCTTATTTGGTTCACGGAATATGTGAGCTTTACATATTGTATTATACATTGTTAGAGATATATATCTCTTTCGTATTTTATTATGAATCTTATTATGAACTATAACGGTTAACATATAAACTGCGTAATGTTGATCACTCATTCCCTACAACAATGTATGTTCAAGATATCCTTGCTCGTGTAAATGAAAACTACAAACTATGCAAATACTTCTCATCGTTGGTCATCCATTGTTTCTTATAAAG